AATGGAAAATTAATGCATTAATTATAAATTACTTCACTCAAATAAAAAAAAATAAAAAAAAGGCTAAAGAATTCATACTTGTATCTTTAGTGGTTAACCCAATGTATCCACAACCCAACCTCAACCCAATCCATTTAAATTGACTCAATGAGTGATCAACCCATTTTCAACCCACCACATCAATAGACGTATTGGGTGGATTAGATACTGGGTGGGTTCAATAGGTTGGATGAGAAATTGCCACCCCTATTGGTGGTGCAAGGATAGGAATGTACAGCTCTCGAAAGAGGGAACATTACCAGTAGAACTCAGTTGCAGTATGGGCCAAACACCTATACTCCGCCTCAGTGGAGGAACAATCAACAGTGTTCTACTTTTGAGCACACCAATAAATGGGATTTGGACCCAAGAGAACACAGAAACTGATGAAGGAGATTTGGCCCGACTTCTTGACAACCCGACACATGGAAACAACCGAGGGTGGCTTGGCAGAAGCAACAACTCGGCACGGCAGTACGCTCAAGGCGCGAGCTCCGAGAGGAGGAACCAGCGGTCCAAGCTCCCCAAAAAGAGCCCGAACTCTCCCAAAAGGAGCCCCGACAACCCGAACTGGCCCACCCTAGGGTAGCTCGGGCCACTCTTCTACCCGAACTCAAGACTTCACCTCGCACACCACTCCAACACTTCGTCTCCAGGCCGCTGAACTGAACAACCATACCTGACACCCAAGGAGTCCGTATCCTGAGGCGGTGCACCTGATTGACTTAGGATCTGACGTTTGACAACCGCACTTCAACAGCCACCTGTCACCGCCACCTCCAGTCACAGAGACGACTCCGACAAAGAGAGCAGTGGTGGTTGTCTGCCACAGCAGAGGTGATGACACCCGAATTGGTAGAAGTGCAGAGGTAATAATACTCGACCTGATAGGAGCCTGGGAGTGAGTGCGCGAAGTGGTTATAAAAGGCCCTCTTCCCCCCAAGAGGAAAGGTACGTGATAACTTTGCGCCATCTGGTTTCTTATCTTGCCTTTGAGAGAATACTAACTTGAGCTTCGGAGCACTCTCACTGGGTTCCTCCCCGGAGACTACTCGCTTTCTTCCCCGTTTCAGACACCTTTTGCTCCAGTCAGAGGCAAGATCGTTAACAGGTAGGACCGACCGGATTGCGCTCCATCAGAAACCATTAACGAATCATCGACCAAGGAGACAATCCGCCTAGTCAGCATCACAATATGCATAGAGATGAAGTGGGCCTAGCTGAAGATGAAAGCATTTTCAAGTTTTAACAGTTGTGAAATGGGCTTTAGTGGGCCTTTTCAGAAATCGATAGGCCTAATTCATTAGAAAGGCAATAGGTCTGGTCAATGTCACATATTGAAGAGCCCCTACCAGATTTCTGTAGAGAAGTTGGATCAGCAAGAGGAGGGTTGGCATCAACGCAAAACTTGGCAAGAGAAGCAAGACTGATAATGGGCTAGCAGTCCACCATGTGTAAGTGCTCAAGTAGATCAAAAATATACTTGGACTGAGATAGAAAAAGTCTAGTAAATTCACGTTGAACCCATATGCCCAAAAAAATAAGATAGATGGCTCAGATCTTTCATCTTAAATGAGTTGCCAAGAGTATGTATGAGAGCAGTAATAAATGAATATTTGTTCTATGTGATTATGATATTATCCACATATAGAAATGATTAGTGTGTCATGGTAATGCTAAATGAAGAGAGATGGGTCTAAGGTAGGGATGACAATTATCCCCTTCCCCGACGGGGACCTGACTTCCCCGATCTGATGGAGTCGGGATGGGGATGGGGACGGGGATTAATAGGAATCCCCGATCGGGGTCAGGGTCAGGGATGGGGATTGAGGTCCCCGTCCCGTCCCAACCCTGAATAATATTAAAACATTATTTATAATTTAAAATTTGTATTTGTTTTAAATAAATTTATTTTTCAAAAAAATACTATTATCTAATTTTAGAATCGGGGATGGGGAGGGAATATGATCCCTGCCCCGTTGCCATTTCTAGTCTGAGGAACAGATGATAAATCCAAGTGCAATGAGGGTGGAGCCAAACTTCTCATACAAATCCAAGTGCCTAGAGGGTTTAACTAAGGTTGTAGAAGGCCTTGCACATTTTACATGCATAAGATGGATAATTAGGGTCAACATAACCTTAGGGTTGGGCCATATAAATGTCTTTATGGAGGTCACCATGCAAAAAGACACACTCAACATCCAACTAACAAAGAGGCCAATTTTGAGCAACAACAATAGATAACACAACCCGGATTGTTGTATACTTAACAACAGGGCTAAAAGCATCAATATAGTCAACTCCAAGCTATTGAGTGAACCCCTTGGCAATAAGCCTTTCTTTGTACTTATTAATAGACCCATATGGATTGCATTTGACCTGATCTACATATTTACAACCCACAATATTAACATGTGGGTGGGTTGTAACCAAGTCTATTTACCTTGATCTTGGAGTAGCTAAAACTCACTACCCACAACCTCTCTCCATTGAGGACATTTATGGGCTTGGATAAAGCGATCTTGGATCTCCTGCCCACAAGAACTCTTCCCACGTCTACCCACATAACATTGCAACCACACATGGGGAACATCTCATCCTCCTACATAGTATTATGCACGGGGAGATGTTCCCAATTCATAGAGGTAGTGTGTTGTGGGTAAACGTGGGTAGTCTCTACACGATTAAGTGTAGTGGGCTATATTGGACTTGGTAAAGTCATGGATTCAACTACAAATTAAAGGTAGTGAATATGTGTCAGGTGTAGACATAGCCAAGGCGTCCACGTGTGAAGTTGATGAAAGTGGAGGGAGGACTGAGCAAACAATATCCATGGGCCAAGAGTTGGATAGCCAATCTGTGAGAATTTGGATTAGCTGAACGCGATGTCTGTTCCTAGTGGGGCCCATGAATTTATTACTGGAATGGAACCTTATCATTGGTTCCACAGCCTACTGAATAGCCATTCCGTTGAGCCAAACCTTGTTCAATCTGTGATGGTGTCTGAAGAAAAAGTGGAGGGTTAAGAGGTAGTTTTAGCAGTGAGGGAGAAAAGGGACATGTGTGTTCATCAAACGGTTTGAGATGTAGACACGCCCGAAATCCGAAATCGAGGCCCATACACTTGTACCTCTTTTGATGTTGATTATAAACAGAAAACAAACACTTGGTTGAACAAAAACCCAATTTATTTGTGGTGTATGAAGAATTGAAGATAACTAGGGAAAACAAATACAACCAAAGAAATTTAAGTTTGTGTAGTCAGGACCAAACCAAAGAGAGATTCAAAGGGTGTAAGAGGTGTGGAGAATCAAATTGGCATTCTATTGATAAGATAAACTGTTGCATGGAAAGCTTAAAGCCAATGCTTTATTATTATTATTACTACTACTACTACTACTACTACTATTATTATTATTGTTGTTGCTGTTGTTGTTGTTATTATTATTATTATTATTATTATTTCTTAAACTATTCCTATTGTTTAGCTAATTAACTAACTATACCTTTACTATTTAACTATTGTCTTGGACCATCCCTACTGTTTCAGATAATTGACATCATCTTTAAGTGCTAACAGAAAAAACAAAATGTCAAATTTACCCTCTACTATTGCTGAAATTTTCAAAATAAAACCCAAATTTCAGGAAGAGAGGAAGCATATTGTTGCTCCGTCTCCATCTCTATCTCCGCCACCGTCTCTGGCGAGTTTCCTCACTTCTCTCTCTCACTCTCTCTCTTTCTCTCCTCACAGTTCTCGTACCCCTGTCATCGCTAAACTAGTTGCGGTGACTTCGTTCTTCCTCTTTTTCTCTTCATTAATTGGTTTCCTTCGAGCAACTCCATTAACGGGTTTTGGATTCTAGAGGAGGTTAGACAATGACAGCGAGGATTTCAATAGTGTCATGGCTCTGTTAATAGGTTTTCCTCTACGGTTCGGGTTCAACAACCAAGCTTTTCCTCTTTGAAACACTCGATTTTCCTGAGATAAAAGGTAACAAAAAGAACACATTAAAGGATCCCAATCTTTCATTGTTCATCATCTTTCCCAATGCAAGACATATAGAGTGCGGCAACCCCTCTTCTTTAACTCTTTCAACACTCTTTCTCTTTCTCTTCCTTTTCCTTTTCCTTTTTCTTCTTCCTTATTTTTTTTTCCTTTTTTCTTCTTCCCTTCCGTTGTTTTGTCACTACCACCAAGGTTTTAAAAGGCTAAAGGCATATTTGAGGCATAATGGCCCAAAAAGGTGAGGCTTCTCAAGGCATTGCAAGGTGTAAGCCTCAAAGTTTAAGAAAAAAAATAATTAAAGTTTGTAAATTGATGAAAATAACATATAATATACTAAATTAAAATGATAGAAGGTAGACATATCTTTGAACTAGAAGTTTATAAGCAAAAAGTTTTGGCATTTAAGCATTAAATAAAATAATTACTAATCAACTAGAAATTATAAACATTTTATACTTCATGTAAAAAAAATAATTTAGAAGAAAGTAAACAACTTAGTTGATTTGATCTATGTAAATAATAATAATAATAATAATAATAATAATAATAATAATAATATTATTATTATTAAGAAAAAATCAATTAGGAAAAGAAATGAGAAAAATAATAAACTTGGGTATTACATTTAGAACAATAAGAAAAATCCCACTTGACTTATTCAAAAGAAACTAAGAACTTAATTAATCCCTTTTACTTTTTAGTTTTTCATTTTTTAGTTTTTTATTTGATCCATAATTATTGAAGTATTTTTTCTATATGTTTTAAATTAAAAAATTAAAAAAATATATTTTTTGTATTAAATCACTAATTAATTATTAATATTTGAGGCTTACGCCTTTTTACACCTCAGGCCTTGAGATTGGCTTGAGGCAAAATTTGTACGCTTCGCCTCAGGGCTTAAACCTTTTAAAACAATGACGGCAACGCGTCCTCTCTCTCTCCGTCCCTTTCATTCACTCTCCCACTCATTCGTTTTTTATTGTTAAAACGCTTTGCCTACACCATTTTCGGTTTTATCGGCTGAGCACAGAAGACCGTAGAAGACAAAGAAACAATACATGATATTTGGTCTCAACATTCCCATTCCGGGTATAATGAAGGTTTTGTGTTTTTTTCTTAGATTCTGATCTCAACATTCCCATTCCGGGTATTATCTTTTTTGACAAAAATACCCCCATTGTTTCCAACCCTAATCGCCTAGAGGAATAAGCACCCATTCTTCTTCGGTTCTTCCCCTCCTCCTTCCAATCAGTCAATCCAAGATACTCGTCGTCGTCGAACTGCCCTCCGACGAGGTAAGATCACTGCCAACCCATTTTTCTTCTATTCTTCCCCTCCTCCTCCTTCTTCTTCTTCCAAATCAACTGCACATACTTTGATCCGGGATGTGGGATCTTCTCTGATGCAGGATCTTCTTCTTCCCTTCTTCCTCTTCCTCTCCTTCTTCCTTCTTCTTTTTTCTTTTAACTGACTACAATATGATTTTTATTTTTTGCAGACTCGCCCCTGTTCTAATTCGGGATTGATCTATTTCTTCACTGCTGACATTAACGAGTTCTTCAAATCAGTCAATCCACGTTTTGCTCTTCAAACCAAGCTCTATTTTACAATTTAGAAATCAGTACAGTAGATGCTCAAACCAGATTGGATAATCGGTCAGATCTCGTTAGGTACTGTCATTGAGATTGTAGGAATGGGTGCAATGTGATGAAATCTTGTTGAGATTTATGTCGCACCGTTGTATTCTTTTTTCTTCATTGGTTATTATGAAAAGTTTAATTTCAAGCTACTCTTTTTTTTCTTCATCTCGATCCAAACTTGTTGAGATTTATGCCACGCCATTGTATTCAAACCAAGCTTTTTCTCCCCCATTACCACCCCTTGTTCCTTGGAACAACTCACTTTCAGACTAAATTCAAATTCTCACACATGTTGGCCCAAGATTTTATCATCGAACCAATCAATGGCCCCCTCTTTTTTTTTTTTGATGAATATTAGTGGCCCCTCTTTATTTGCAGTTGAACCATAAACTTATTTGCCATAAGCTCCATTTAAGATAGAGTAAACAAGCTCTAGTTAATAGTGAAGGTGAAGGAAATAACCATACTTCTTGAAAGAATTTTTTATCAATCCCTTGAAAGTAAGGAACTAAGGATCCCTGATTTCTTAGAAACATAATTGGCTGAGAACTATTTGACAAACACATAAGGTAAAATAGAGATGGAAAAAATTTACCAAAGAAGCCAGGGAGTTTGGATAAAAAATAAGAGGCTCCTACATCTAGAAATAGTCCTAGTGCTGTTTCTGGCATGGAAAAGACCTGCAAAAAGTCAATTGTAGGATGAAGCAAATGGTTCTAACTCATGAGGAAGGAAAAAATATTTAAACAAACAAAAAGTAATGATTCCAATCTTATAATCATATTTCCTAAGAAAATAAGTAAGATATATACATACACCTACATGAATATACATATATAGATACATACATACATATGTATGTATATTACATATATGTTTACCAAAAGTTTAATGAAATCCTAAGATGTGAACTGCTATTCATAAATTATCTGTTTATGGGCACATAACATTTGAGAACTTAGATAATGGGACTATGGAGAATAAAGTACTGAGTTCTCTGTTTATGGGCACATAACCACAGCTGCAACATCCCCACCAGCACTAAATGCTCTTCCTTCTCCCTGCAACCAATTGAGCATATTAATCACTAAAATGAAGCAAAATGACAAGAAAACACAAAATACTGAAAATCAAATATTACATTAAGATAACTAGCACACATATTGAACAAGAAGAGAAAAGCTTGGAAATCAAACAACATTAAGTGCAATATTTGCAATGAATTGAATATATTACTAACTGAAATGAAGTAGAAGGGTAAGATTAAACACAAAAAATTGATTTGACTACATTAGCATAGCCAATGGAAATAATGAACAAGAAGGGTAAAGTTTGGAAATAATATATGGTAACAAGAAAAAATATGATTATACCACCTTCTCTTGACAGGATGAATTCCTCTAAACTGAGGGCACCACATGTGTATGTTGCTCTGCATGTCATAGCAGTCAATTGCTCTGCACCCTCCTCGTGCTTGTCAAGCAGTACCCCATGTTCTATCATCTAAAGGACATGGGTTTCTTTGTGTAATTCCTTTTTATATTATGTGACTAAGCTCATGTGTCTTTGTCCTGGAATTGGATTTGTTATAGGATTTTACAGCAGTTTGGAGTCCATTCCTTTGGTCTACTTCTTGGTCTAAAGCCTTCATGTCCAAATGAAGAGGTTAGGATGCTAAAGTTTAGGAACACCTTGTTAGGTAATTTTTTGTGAATTTTTCCTTTGCTTGTTAGTAGGGGTGATCATTTCAGCCTGGCCTGGCCTGGCCCGGAAATTCAGGGCTTGGGCCTGGGTTTTGTGCTTAAGCCCCAGCCTGGGCCTGGGCCCACATCAGGCCCACAAATTTTAGGGCCGGGCTTGGGCTTAATACCTCAAGCCCGGCCCGGGCCCGGCCCGACCCACATATATTTAAGCTTACACATTTTGTGTATAATGTATACATGTTATTTTACATTATATTATATATTTTATATATAAATATTATAACATGACATGTATAATTTATATTATATGTAATATTTTATATTATATAGTATATAAAATAAGTTTATATGCATGTTATGTTATTTAATATATAGATATGTAATGTTTTATATATGAGTGACATTGGCCCGGAATCAGGCCCAACCTGGCCCGGACCCTTATAGACCTGGGCCCAGGCCTAAGCTATAGACCTTATCATAAGTGCAAAGCCCGGCCCGGCCCATGATCACCCCTACTTGTTAGTAACACATTCTATTTCTAATACATTCATGATATGAATGGTAATCAAGGGGAGGAAGTGTGTGGTTTTGGCAAGAAATGCAATGTTAGTGTTGCCTTAGAGATCAACATTTGTCATCCATGATTCCTTAAATATATCAGGTATAACACTCTTGAATTCCTAGAACAAAGTTTTTTGAATATATTTTATTGAAAAATTCCCTTCTTATGTAGAATTTTCTAAGAGTTTGTTCTATTTTTTGTTCTTATAGCTTGCCCATTGTTCATTTTGTCTTATTGTCCAACTCTGTTTTTTTTCCTTGTACTTAGGTTTTAGAAGAGGATTAAAAAGTTAAGAGAGTGGCTTGATAGGTTGGCAAAGGTAACAAGTTTCTAGCATTTTCATGCATTTTCTGCAAGACTTGTAATTTATGCATTTTTCTGATTTTCTTGCAATTTTCTGCAATTTCCTGCAATTTTTCTGTAATTTCTATAGTTTTCTGCAAAAATATTGTAGTTTCTACATTTTCTTGCAAAGTAAATGATATTTTCTATAATTTCTATATTTTTTCAGGTAATTTCTGTAATTTTTGCAATTTTTGTAAAATTCCTGATATTTTCATGCATTTTCTGTTTTTTTAGCAAAATTATTGTAATTTCTGCTTTTTTGGGATTTTCTTGCAATTTTTGCAAAATTTTAGGTATTTTCAAGCATTTTTCTGCAATTTACTGCAAAATTCCTGATATTTTCATTCATTTTCTGATTTTTTCTGCAAAATTATTGTAATTATGCATTTTTCTGATTTTCTTGCGATTTCTGAAAAAAATAGGTATTTTCATGCATTTTCTGCAATTTACTGCAAAATTTCTGTAATTTCTATAATTTTGTACAAAATTGTTGTAATTTCTGCATTTTCCTGCAACTTTTGCAATTTCTGCAAAGTTCCTGATATTTTCATGCATTTTCTAAATTTTTATGCAAAATTATTGTAATTTCTACAAAATTTCAGCTATTTTCATGCTTTTTCTGCAATTTCCTACAAATTTTCTGTAATTTCTATAATTTTCTGCAAAATTGTTGTAATTTCTGCATTTTCCTACAACTTTTGCGATTTCTGCAAAATTCCTGATATTTTCATGAATTTCTGCAAAATTATTGTAATTTCTGGTATTTTCATGCATTTGTCTTCAATTTCTTGCAAAATTTCTACAAAATTATTGTAATTTCTACATTTTCCTGCAAAATTTCTGCAATTTATGCATTTTTTGGTATTTTCATGCATTTTTTGCTTTTTTTTTTATTTTTATTAGGGGCAAAATTGGAAATCATGGTTGATTTCGATTCCAGCCTCTTCATGAACCAAGCAACATGATTCCGATTCCTGTCTGAACCAAATAGGTAGGGGGAATAAACCCTTCCGATTCCAATTTCAAAGGATTCCCATTCCAATTTCGATTCTGATTCCGATCACGAACCAAGCGGACCCTTAATTAGTTTGTGTGGTCGTAATCCTAAAGGTTCACGTTTACTTATTTTTAGAGAAAGTGGGAAACTGCGAATAGCCAACGCCTCCTAGTTGTGCCTCTTGGGATTCAGAAGAGTTGCAAAGAACTCGAGTCCAGCTTGCTCGCCCTACAAAGGCAAGCGGACACGGATACTAAAGACCTCTAATCTCACTAATTTGTTCTTTTGATTCTTCAAGAGAATAATGCCACCACATACTAAATCTGTCTCTGTGCGACGAGAATAAGGATCTAATTACTGCGTCAAGAGCAATTAAGCCCCTATTAGAAGCTCTCAAGAATGGAACCACGACCACGAAGAACACTGTGTATGCTCTACTTCGCTTGTAACAATGGAAGAACCTGAGTCAGTTGGGTTTTATTGCCTGAAAAGCCACCGGCTGCACCTAGACTTTGAAAATTTTCATCAACGTGAGTTGCAAAAGACCGTGGCCGCCGACCCGCCAATGCCATCTCTCTCTCTCTCGTATGTCTCTTCTCCTTCTAAAATGTTGGATCTGAAAACTGGCATAATAGACCCGCTCACGGGCAGTGATTCTTACCTGGATTACAGAAGAAGGATGAAGAGTAATATTGGGGTTTAAAAAAATTTATGCCACATGGTGTAATGTGTGTGCAGATTTTGATAGAACAATAACAAATGCTAACAACAAGGGTAGAATTAATTAATTGTCGGAAACAGTAAGGGTGGTCAAAGACTAATTAAATAATAAGAGTACAATTTGTCAATTAACTAGAAAATAGGAGTAGTTTAAGAAATTTGCCCTTATTATTATTTACACTTCTAGCCATCCAAGTTGTAGCTCATGAAGGCCTTGGTGCCCATTTGGGAGGGCTTTCTTCTAGGTTATATGAGCCAAAAAAATCCACAAAATTGTGAAACCCTATTAGATAAAAATCAAGAAAGTTCAAAATAGGCTTACATTGGCCCAAAAGTCGACTTTCTATTAAAGCTATCATAGCTAGTATGTAACTTCTCAAAAGCAACTATACCAATATAGCTCAATCACCATAAAAGCCCTCCCAAACAGGCTTTCTATGTACATGGTCTAAAAGACAATTAGTTTGGAATCAAAATAAAATGACTGAATTAACCCCATCTCTTATATTTTCATTTAAAGCTATCATAGCTCGTATGTAGCTTCTCAAAAGCAACTATATCAATAAAGCTCAATCACCATAAAAGCCCTCCCAAAGAGGCTTTCTATATACATGGTCTAAAAGACAATTAGTCTGGAATCAAAATAAAATGACTAAATTAACCCCATCTCTTATATTTTCATTTAATTTTACTTGATTAATATACAAAAGTGGGTTGAAAACCCTAAAATTAGGGGTGTTTATATTGAATTTCAAACCAAAACGATTGAGGATAAATGAGTCATGATCTGTTTATATGTTGATGATATGCTAATAATGGGAATAAGTCTAGAGGTAGTAAAAAAGCAAAACAATTTCTAATGTCCAAAATTGATACCAAGGACTTGAGTGAGGCTGATATAATTTTGAGGATTAAAATCCATAAACAATAAGGAAACTTTATTCTCTCTCAATTACACTATGTAAAGATTATTCTTAGAAAATTTGGACACTATAATTGTAAACCGGTTAAAACACCTCTTGACTGTAGTGTTCACTTAAGGAAACATGTAGGAGAACTTGTTTCACAAAAAGAGTATTCAAGTATAATTGGATCTGTATCTTAATGAACTATACAAGACCAGACATGGCTATAGTTGTGGGAAAATTAAGTCAGCATACTCATAATCCTAGAAACAAACATTGGGAAGCTTTAATAAGATTATTAAAATATTTAAAAAGAACTATAAATTTTGGTTTACATTACCCATGTTTTCCTCCTGTTTTAGAAGGCTTTACTGATGCGAGTTAGATTTCAGATTTAAAGGATAGTACTTCCATTAGTGGATATGTGTTTACTCTAAGTAGATGAGCAGTATCGTAGAAATTGGTAAAGTAGTCATGTAATACAAGTTTAACAATGGAGGCTGAGTTTATTGCACTAGAATTGGCAGGGTTTGAGGCAGAGTGGCTAAGGAACTTACTAGCAGATATACCACTTTGGCCATAGCCAGTTCTATTTATATCTCTCCATTGTGATAACCAAACAGCAATAGCCAAAGCTAAGAATTAGATGTACAACGGTAAAAGAAGACACATCCACTTACGGCATAACCTGGCAAGACAATGCCTCAACGAAAGTACAATCGCTCTGGATTTTATAAGGTTTGAAATGAACCATGTAGATTCGTTAACCAAACTACATACTTCTAAGGTAGTTTATGAGGCATCGGTAGGAATGGGGTTGAAGCCCGTTACATAAGTCATTAGTGATGGACACCCAATCTATGTGAAAAGGAGGTCCCTGAAATTAGGTTGAATGGGTAAAAATGAGTCGCTAGATGATTTAGGAAAGCACTATCATTTGTGTCCCATTTTAGATGTCAATGTAAGATTCATTGCAGTTTGAGGAGGTTGAGCATGAGGCTCTTAATCAATTAAGAATAGTGTATGTAGTGAATGCTAATAACTGACCTAAGTGAGTGTGAAGTGTAGCCGCTTCTAAGAGAGATATAGGGCTGACTCTCTAAAACACTCATGATTCCAAAAGGGGAACAAGGCCGAAATGTTCTAAATCAAAAGAACCACTAAAGAACTGGCGAGTTGAGTTGGTTGTCCGGTTAGCTAGTTACAACAAAGAGGAAAGGCTGAAGGAATCTGACTCCACTATACTCTGTGACATAGCATGTCATACCTAAGTGATGATTGAAGTCCAAAAGACATCACCATGAATACTTTTTTCACTACGATGCTCAAATTGTTTGATCTTCTTGTAATTTTGAATCTTGTGGAGGATTGTTGGAGGGAGATTCAAAATTTCAAGAATATCTCTCATTTCTCGTTTTTTAGTTTTGTCTTTTCCTCTTTGCACTCTTGAAGTGCATGGGAAGACTCCTTGTCCCACTTTGCACTCTATAGTTTTGCAGGAAAGCACTATAGATACCCCATGCATGTGAGGGGGGGTTGGGGGTGCTTTTCACATGCGCACGCCAAGCTGAGTTGAGTCGGGTCGGGGCACGTTTGCGTTTACATGCGTGCAATGCACCGAGCCAGTTTTTCTTTTAACCAGATTAAACTTTTGAATTTTGAATTTATTTTTAAACATTTTTTCTCTTTCTTTTCATGTCTCTTCCTTCCTGTGCCTCTTCGAATAGGTGCACTATTCTGAAGAGGTTCCTGTTTGAAAGGACACCTCTGTGTCCATTCGGGTCTAGGAGCACTCTATAATAGGAGTATTGGTCGACCTAGTTTTCACACACAAAAAACATTTTCGACATTCTTCTTCTCTGTCTTCTTTGAAAATCTAAACATCATCTCTCAGTGGTTCACGGAGGTTTGTTAAGTGAGTGCACGCCTACCGGTGGCCTGTGGGTTGTTTTATCTTGGCAACCGATTTGTGATCACCTGATTGCATCGTAAGGGGCAATTGCGGTTTTAAGGAGAGTGACCAAATGGCATGACTCAACCCTCCTTTTCTTAGTTTTGTAGTTCTACAACATCACACTCCTGCAAATTCTTGGTTTGGGAAGCGATTACCAATAAGTTCCATCTACCTTCTTTATTATTTTCCAACAGATTGACTCGCCAATTAGCTATGGGTTATGACGTAGAGGAAAAAACAATTCAGCCTTCCAGGTTTGTTCTCTAAACAGTTCAGCCTTCCAGGTTTGTGAACATTTGATAACTGCATATTTTGATGCATCACCCTAAATCTCCCACATCGAATCAATAAATAAGTGAAATAAGGGAATATCTATGATGCCAAAAAGACATAACGCTAGAAGAGCTTTGACCAATTAAAACTCTAAATTTTGAAAAATATCACCTGATTAGTTACCACTTTTATGATAGTAGTGGATTAATCATGAGTTCAAGTTCAGGTTTCATGGAAATGACTTTTAATTCATTTTCAACAATGATTTATAATGTTTATATAATTTCTAATTCCTTTAATCGGATCCC